AAAGAGGAGGAGGTTTATCAGAACCTGCGTGTAATTTTTGTAAATATTTTTTTCCCTCAAAAAAAAAAAAAATCATTTTTCAATGTCCTATTACCTATATTATATGTTAAATAAAAGGTTTGGTACTAGGATTGAACCTAAGACCTTTGCAGAGATACATCCTCAGCTGCCCCTGGCTTTTTTTGTGAGACAGCCTTTTACTAAACAGCTGAATTGCTGAGTTACTCAGGCTGGGCTCAAACTTGAGATCCTTTTGCCTCCAGCCTCCCACAGTGCTAGGATTACAAGTGTGCAATACCATGCCTGGCTCAAATATTTTGAATTAATTTAAATTTTTAACTTTTTAATTATACCAAAAGAGCTGACTCCTTAAAAATAGTCTTTTTCAATAAAAACAAGTATAATTATAACAATGTTTTAGATTCAGCTTTGTATTTAACAAGTGCATATGGGAACATTCTATTTACCATAATGTTTAATGTAGGCCAATATTATGCTAAGAGGAAAACAACTAAAAGAATAAGAAGTTGACTCAAACTTTCAGAAGAAATAATTATAGAAGGATTCAAAAACAGTTCAAGAGTAACATATTCCAAAAGGAAAGGAAGCACTTGGGGTAATAGTAAATGTGTATTAGGAAAATGTATGGAACACAAAACAGTATTTTTGTGTATATTCATCCAGGCATAAATCAATTAAGAGATAAAAATGAATGTGTAAAAACTGTGATAAAATAAAAATGAGTTGAAGATTTCTGCCTTAAACCAGTGCTTCTACATTATTTTTCTGCCAGCTACTGACAGCTACAACTCAGACCTATTTGTAGTTTACTAAAGCAATAATGGAGGTGAAAAAAAGTAGGAAAGTACAGAATTATTTTTCATACATTTAAATATTGATTATCACATGGTAATGAAATTATTATGCAATTTACATGAAATAACTCAGACTTTCAATTTTAAGTAAGAACATAATATTACTCGTGTTTACATACCATAAATATGTAGTTTGTGTCAGGAACCTGACCTCCAGTTCTGAATAGTTCACAAAGGTCATAAAACTATAAAAGAAAGGCAATATATATTAATTACGAATTCCTGTTCAGGGGAAAAATAAGTTGAGAGTAAAATGTGTAAAGAATCAGTATTAAGAGGAATCCAAATATGTACATTTGTAGTAAAGCATAAGCAAAACTGACAAACCCAGTTTCCAGACCTTGGAAAGGCACTACACAAGCTCACCAAAACCACAGTCATTTTTCTATCATTAGTTATAAACCTTTCCCTTCTAAAATCTTTCCATCTTGAGAATTCTGAAACCATTCATCAGTCATCGAACTTCTCAGTAAGATAAACTAACCACCCCACCCATAATCAGCATCCATTTAAAAAAATTTTTGTTAATTTTATTGGTATATTTTAGGTATACAATATAATGACATTCATCATTGGAAATTTGTATCTTTACATAATCTATCTTGGTTCTTATTTTTTCCCAATTCCCCTTCCCTCCCTTCAACCCCTCCATCCACTTCAGCATCCATTTTAATGAGACAAAAGGGAACAAAGGATAAGAATTTTTTCAAAAAGAAAAAAGAACAAAAAATTTTTTCAAAGCCAAGCATGGTGGCACACATCCATGATACCAGCACTTTCAGGCAGGATGACTGCCACAAGTTCAAAGCCAGCCTGGGCTACACAATGAATTCAAGGCCACCCTGAACAAGACCATGTCTCAAAAAACAAAACAACAAAAAAAATTTTTTGTTGCCCCTTTCTAGTACACAAAACTCCTCTCTGTGAAAGAAATATACTTACCACCCATGGAGATAGATAGATAGATAGATCTATATATTGATATATCTATGAATGTATATATGATGTGTGACTCATATGTCATTTATACATGAAAGGTCTAGAAGACAGTATTACATTATGCATTATTTTTTATAATATATATTTACCTCTTTTTTGAGACAGAATCTCACTATGTTGCCCAATTTAGTTTCAAATTCCTGGGCTCAAGCAATCCTCCCACCTTAGCATTCTGAGTGCTGGGACTACATGTGCACGCTACCATGCCCTGCTCTTCATCTGTTTTAGAAAGCAGTCAAAACACTTCAAATGCTGCCTGCCTTGCAAGCACAAGGTCCCAAGTTCAATCCCCAGTACCAAAAAAAAAAAAAAAAAAAAAAAAAAAAA